GAAGCTCCAACCCAGTGGTTGGAGCTTCCTTAACCGCGAAAACTTTAAAATTCAAATTTTCAAATTTTGAACGTAAAGTACATTTTTTCCATCACGAGATTAAAGCACAGACAAGTTTCGAATTATTGACTGTATCACCATGATTCCAAAAATACACTACACAACATAGCATTGGCTAACAATAAAACAATATGCAATAAAATAAAGTCATGACAAGGAACATAGCCGAAAATGGCGCCGATTCCCATTAACCAACGCGCGGTCTCTCCAATGTAACATGGTCCAATGATACTCCCCAGCTGGGACCGTCCGGAATAGCAGCTCTAGTGCAAGCACCAGAGCCGCTAAAATTACTAAAGAAATAAATATAAACTATAATTCAAATTTTACTATATATTTATTAGCCCCAGCACTTAATATTGTTTGCTCTTTAGTAACATGAGTTATCTTTCCATTCTATTCCAGCTATGACTCAGTTTTGAGTCGAAACGTCTTGGGTTTCATTAAATGTGTATTTTAGCCTTGTTTCCCGTTTTCCATCCTTGCTTTTTCACTGTAATCCAACGATCTGAGTAGAACAGTTTTAAATAATGCGCTGTTCGTCGTGTTTTAATGTTGTAATATGCTTGATTTATATTTGAGAGAGGAATGGATTCAACAGTTGATTATTTTCGTTTGTGCTCAGATCATGCATGCTTTATATTTATATATTAATTATTTATCCACCACGTTAAGTGCAATAAAGACTTACCGGTCGGCAGCAGCCACTACTGGGAGGCGTTGAATCCGGTTCAGTCATGATGTCTATTTTGTAGTACTGATCACTTATTTAGACTCCTTTCCTGCATGTGTTTCTTACTGCCCTGTAGCCTCATTACTTGTTTAGCACTAACTAAACCGAAGATCCATTCATCTTGAAGCAAGAACTGACGATTACGAGATATGTGAGGTATGCACAGAGGCTTACCACTTCACGTAGGGCTTATCAATTTTCCAAGTATTATCACTTTTCGAGGCAATCGTTAGGTACTCCTTTGGCGTTCCAAAATTCAAAAATAGTGTATCCTTGAATGAGGAGGGTCGTTCTGATCTCCTGAGCTTTTACCTTTACCCTCGGGGTTTTAACATTTTCCCGGGCGTTTATCACTGTTCAAGGCAATTGTTATCACTCTCTAGCCGCTCAAAAATTATACATCCATTGGACTACACCTGCAATAAAAAACCAACTATCATAATTTGGCTTTTGTAAAAGGACTAAAAAAATGATGGCTTCTTTTTGAAAATATAGTCTTTTTTATATCAGAGGAAGAGCGAGACGCAAAGGTTTTTTCAGAGGCTTATCAATTCTCTAGAGACTAGTCCATTTCCCAGACGTCCCATTCTTCGCGACGCTTATTGCTCCTGAAGGAGCTTATCATAGATTTACAAGCGTTATCACTCTTCAGAGAATTTTTCTTCACTAGGCAACCTATTTTTCTTTCCAGCTTGACATTTTCTTTTGTTAGGGTGCGTTCAACTCTTTACTCTGAGCTTATCTTACTTTTCCAGGAGTTATCACTTCTCAGAACAATAATAACTTCTTTCTTACGCGAGGAACGTTATTTTCTTACGGATTCACATTTTTCAGAGTGCTTCCAACTCTGTTCTCTGAGCTTATCACTTTTCCAGGAGTTATCACTCTTCAGAACACTATCAACTTCTTTCTTACACGAGGAACGTTTATTTTCTTACAGGTTCACATTTTCATTTTTCAGAGTGCTTCCAACTCTGTTCTCTGAGCTTATCACTTTTCCAGGAGTTATAACTCTTCAGAGCAATATTAACTTCTTTCTCGCACGGGAAACCCTAATTCTCTTTCAGCTTCACTGTTTCATTTCTCAGGGTACTTCCAACTCTTTTCCCTGAGCTTATCACTTTTCCAGGAATTATCACTTTTCGAAGCAGCAGTTAATACGGCTCAAGCAGGACAACAGTAGTAGGGTCACGTTTATAGGTATGGATTTTCGCTCAGTGGTGAGGAAGGGTTGGTGACGGGCAAATGACTTGGCGCCTGGCTGTGGTCGCACAATGGTCATTTGTTCAATGCAGGTAGAAGGCATGAATGAAAGAAGAGGCCCTATTGTTACCCTACCAAGAAAAATCACTTAGCGATGCGCTGAATACCTCCGTATTTTGTAATTTCACATACATATAGGTCGCTTTACAGCACTCCCTCGCGCTCTACGACTCCTAACCTCCACTGCTCTCTGTCGAACCACAAATCTTGGGGCATTGAGCACCTTAAAATTTCCGCTTCAATCCCATCCCTCCAACCTTTCATTGGGCGCCCTCTGCGTCTTCTCCCAGGAGGGACCCAATCAAGGACCCCCTTCGGCAACCTGTCTCCTGCCATTCTCTGGACATGACCATACCAAATAAGTTGTTTCGTCATAATGTCTTGCACGATGGTCTACTTGGTATCCATGATCTCCCGTACCGTCTCATTCCTGACGCGATCTTTTCTGGAAGATCCAGCAGATCTACGCCTTTTGTAATTTCACGCCTGCATTAAATAAAGCTATATTTGTTTAAAAGAAAAATAAATTGAACTGCTTAACTCTTGAGAGATGTTTTAAAAAATATTACATATCGGATTTTAAAATAGTAATAATTGATTCTTTCTCTCTTTTTTTTTTTAAAAAAATAAAAATTTCTTTTAAAGTTTTTATGTGAGTCAAAGCTATGGAGAATGATGAAATAAGCAATGAGCAATATACTTTCATGTGTGATATTATTTTTGATTTGAAAATATATTGTTGTTATAATTTTCTCATTCTTGCCTTTTCACCTATTCACAGTCGTTAAATGATTGAGGTTTCTATTGCCAGGCCCAGTGAATGCATTTAAAGAGAGCGAGAGTGTGTGAATTCTGTCTTTTGTAATTTCACACTTGTATTAAGAAGCTATGTTTGTTTAAAAGAAAAATAAAATTAAATAAACGAAAAAAGTAACTGTTTAAATCTTGAGAGATGTTTTAAATATTACATCTCGGATTTTAAAATAAAAATAATTGTTTTTTTTTTTTTTTTTTTTTCTTTTAAAGAGAGCGAGAGTGTGTGAATTCAGTAATTTGTAATTTCACACTTGCATTAAAAAAGCTATGTTTGTTTAAAAGAAAAATGAAATTAAATAAACGAAAGAAAAAACTGTTTCAATCTTGAGAGATGTTTTAAATATTATATCTCGGATTTTGAAATAATAATAATTGTTTTTTTTTTCTTTTTTTTTCTTTTTTTTTCTGTGTTTCTTTGTTTCTTTTTTTTTTCTTTTTTTAAAATGAAATTTACTTTGAAAGATTTTATGTGATTTGTAAATTCCTGAGGCTATGGAGAATAATTAAATTAGCATACTTTCATGTGAGATTTTTTTTTTTTTTTTTTTTTGTTTTGTTTTGTTTTTTTTTTTTGTATGAAAATGAATCGTTATCATAATTTTCTCATTCTTGCAATCATAAGTGTAGGTTCAAAATAAGGAATATTGTAGTTACGAACGGAAAAATAAGTCAGAGGTTAATGTTTGTGATGACTACAAACGGAGCCGATAAATTTTTATTCAGAAAATTACAGAGAACCTGGCTTGATCTCATAAGAGGAGCCTTACATGTTCAAAAAAAAACTTAAAACTAGATTTATTCTATTATATACAATTTATATTACATCATTGAAGGGACTGCTTTTCAGAGAGGATACAATATAGCAAAAGAGCGTGTTATAACGGAAAGAAAAAAGTGAGGAAAAAAGCCAAGATTCGAATCATAACTACAGTCATGACAAGACTCAGCAAAGCGAAACATATTTTCAAAAATTGAAGTAAACAGGAAACGGCACGATTCATTTTGAGAGAAAGAATAAGTGTTTCTTCTGAGGAAGAGAGAATTATTAAAGTAGAAGTTAAAACACAATCACACAGAAAAAAAAAAATCCCGTACCTCCTATTGGCTTTTCATTTCACCTCAGAGACTGGATTTTGCATACTTCAATCCCGTAGCCTCTATTGATGTTTCATTTTATCTCAAGGTCTGGATTGAAAAAACAGCCACACTCGTCGACACCGTATTCTAAAAATATGTGACACGTTGAATCACATTTTTTTTGAAAAACTATAGATGTCTTCGATTTCTTTGAGAGTTTTTTGTTCAAGGTAAAGTTCGCAGGAGTACCAAGATAGTCTTTAGGAAAGGATAGTAAGTGAATCTTGCCGTTACACCAGGCGTTTGTTTCTAAAGACATTTTAGATTTCTGCACTACGCTAAGCTAGATCTATGACTGTCTGAAGTTGAAACCGACTTTACCTTCCAACACTTTATCTATAATTAAATCACGGCACGCATGTTTTAATTCTACAAAAGCAATGTTAAAATCGTGGGATGAGAACTGGGATTTTTCACTGAAAGAGTTAGCACTGAGTTGATCCAAACATTTTGAAACATTATTTTCATCTAAGTAGAGGCATTTTGTTGAAATTTCATCACAAATATCAGAGAAAAGTTGTTGAAATTTACGTTGATCGTCCACTGCTTTGACCACCACAGAGTCAATTGATGGAATGAGAGTCTTGAGATGAATCCACGTTTTTTCTTGAAGTGCGATCTCCCTTGGGTACTTCAGCTGCGATTGGCTCCTTTCGGCAATTACAAGACACTTGTTTCGAATAATCTTGCGAAATTCACAATATTTGGATGGAGTGCCGAGGTAAAACATATCGTTAATGTAGCCACCTCTCCGGAATTCAGCGTCGATGTCACCGTCCTTGTAGTAGAATGCACGCCATTCTGCGACGTTCAGGGCAAGTCCATTTTGTGCTTTGCTGTGTTTGTAAAACTTGATCACAGGTTCGAACTGTTCATCACATGTATGACCGACGACAATTTGCTTCACGCCGTCAGGAGAGATGAAAAAACAGGAATTTCCGATGGTCTTAAGAACGAGAGGACCGGGAGCTGTTCTTTCGGACTCGGAATCCATGATTAGATGAGCGGTCACGGAGTGAGCGAGAAAGGGTAGAAAACACCGGGCGGTTTGACTAGGGAGTCAAGTACACGTAAAGTAACGTTGAGAAGAGAACGAGAAAAACGCAAAATTCTGGGCGCAACAGTAAGAAAATGAGATGTGTCAGGGCTATAAGTAAGCTTGGCGGAGAAGGCCAGCAACACCACCACTCCCGAATCCGAGGGCTCCACCCCGGTGGGACCTGGACCTCCCCAACAGCAGAACCGGTTCCCCGACTGTGAACGCACACTCGCCTAGCCTCATTTCTACCCCTATATTTTCCCCTTAATCTGTATTTTTTCTCAATTTTTATAACAAGAATCTTCTACGGGCAAGGTGTAGCCCGCGGCAACGAGAAGACTGAATTTTACTGTGGGAATGACTTTTTTCAATTTTTACAAAACTGAAGTATTTCCGATAATTTAATTTTAAAAGCGGGGCCGGGCGCGAGGACGGGGCGGCGCGGGGACGGGACGGCGCGGGGCCGGGGCGGCGCGGAAAACGGCGCGGGGCCGGGCGCGGCGCGGCGGGAAGAGTATTTTTTATTTTTTATTTGCGTGGGACGTACACAACAGTTCCTCCATCACTTGGAAAAATTCGGGATCTGAAACGAAAATTTTCAGGAGTTTTCTGTTTCAAATCGATCAAAAGATAACCATGAGGTCGCAGTGTAGCTTCAAGATAGATCTCAGTGAGAAATTTTGAATTTTGAGGACAAATTTGTTGTGCTAAATGCCTAATCTGCGCTTTGTCTCGGGGATTTTTAAACAAAATTAAATAATGAGCATTCAGACTCAAGTCTCGCTGATTTTTACCTTTGTAAAATATATTCTGGGTAATAAAGAAAACACTGATATTTTTATGGTGACAACCTTTCGTGAATAAATCAATAATTACAGAACTATTTGCTGACTCTCGCATTAAGTCATCAATAATGATTAGACGGGGATATGTCGTGTCAAAATCTGTATCAGGTAAACCTTGAATAAAAGTGACACCTGGAATGTTAATGTCAGGCTGCCATATGCTATAGTGCCACAGAATTTCTTTAAAACTTACGTCACAAACCTGATTCAAATTTTTCAAAAAGTTAACGACAAAGTAAGATTTACCGGAACTGGAGGGCCCGGACACTATGCAAGAAAATGGATGTGAGAGTCTAGGCTCCATTTTTTGAACTGAGGAGAAAGACATCAGGGCTTGTGTTTTTGTAGGCTACATTTTAAAGGTTCATAAGTTAATGAGTCACATTTAATGATAATGTTGGGTATTGTGGCGGTTAGGCGTCGCAGAGCGCCAGAGTGCGCTGTGAAAGCGACTCTAATGTACGTATTTAATTCTAAATCGGAAAGGTGTTACAAAAATAGAACATGCAAAACAAGTGAGATTTTCTTTTTTGATAAATTCTTCTCTGTATTTTTTCTTTCTTTTTACAAATTCAAAAGTAAAAAAAAAGTATACACTGATAAAACGCTTAGGTACAATCAAACACAGTAAAAACTTAATAAAATATGAATTACGGTTCACACGCAATGCGATCTTAAATGGTAGCGTCTGTAATGAGTTGACTAATATCAAATCGCCGAGTATATATCATCACAAATAGGACACATAGATCAGTCCCCAATACGCATAGTTTCTTTTGACTTTAATTAATTTCTACCTTGTTCATTTTGCTAAATTCGAAAAGTAGATACTTCTATTTTCACGTGTGGGACTTCCATATTGCATACCTTTTAGATTGAAGGCTATTATTATACGTCAAATTGAAAGCTCTATTTTGACCCGCGAGCGTGTGTGTTGCATACCCGTTTGAATTGAAGGCTAATCTCACTCCTCAAATTACTGAAATTTCGCTTTTTTAGCCCCGAAAGGAAGTGTTTCATATGAATCCGGCAATCGACGTCTCTTTGTGTAAACTACACGGTAAATTTTATTTTCTGACTTAGTTACAACATTCCACCCCGGTTTCCTTGCTATTTTGTTAGGAATATTAACAGTAAGAGTGTCGCCCTCTTCAAGGACTGCTCTTCTAATAGACTCAAAATTTACGATTTTACTTGCTCTGTGGTTCAGAGTGAAACCTCTTATTTTACACACAGTTACAGTATTGCTCGGATCCCCACCGATACACACCTTATAAGCATAGCTCTTAGGACCTGCTCCGATGAATTCGCTAATGTAAGATCCCTCCCCATAACCTATGATTTCATCTGTCAACTCCCCGAGGTAATCTCCGGTTTTGATTGGTTCACGGTCCCGAGGGCAAAGGTAGAACAGGGAGTCAGTATCAACATAGACCCCAAGCCCTTGAACTTGCTCTAAAAGCTCATAAAGTTTAAGACGCGCCTGTGCAGTACAGAACGCAGCCAAAATTACATTGGTTTTCTTACTGGGTCTCACCGATTCCTCAACGGCTTTCGTGTTTACGATCATAAAATCATCCGCGATAGGTTGAAAACTCTGAACATCTATGGAGGGGTTTGTGAACACTTTTACAATTTCGCTTTTTTCAGTTAAAATTCGAGTTTCGATAAAACTATCGCGCTGTCCTAGTTTCCCGTAAAAAGAGTTTAATAAAATTTTACTGACAGCTCTGAGCGATGGGTTTGATTCAATTTTATTTGGATCTAAATCTATATTCTCTACTCTCTTGTACTCACTCAAGTATTTTGCTCTATCGGCATCCGTCTTAACCCACGAAGGCCACCCTGACGCTTGCTGCTTCATTTTAAGGAATTTTTTTACGTAATCGACAAAAAGACCGCCTGATTTACCGTCAAATTGAGTAGTCTCAAAGTCCCAGATTTCGTGAATTTTAATCATCTTATAACCCAAACTTATAGCTTTTTGGACCTCTAATGTAACCCATGTCCCCTCAAGCCATCTTTCCTCAGCTTGATGTGTGCAATCTTCCTGCAAACTCAATTCTGCGCAAGTCCTACACAAAGGAAAAAATAATTTTCCGTGACAGCGAACGGGTAAAACTGGGTGAATCATAAAATCCGGGGCTAAAATAATACACTTAATCAGTCCTGTGTACGATGATATATCCAGCGATTTGATTTGTTCCCCGTGGAGAACTTGTTTGACTTGACCCACGGGAAAAATACCTCTAGCAAGTACATAAGGATATAAACTACAATAATCAATATAATGGATTTTTTCTCCTTTACTAGCGTCCACTTTACAATGCAAGTGAAAACTGTTTGTCCGACCTCCATAATAACTGTCTTTAGCTCTGAGTGGTTGGACTAAATACTGTGCTTTATTTTCAACACAAAAACGCTTGACCTCAGCACATGTGGATTTTAAAACGTTAAATTCGCATTCCCATGTTGTTTCTAATTTATAAATAGGGGAACCATTGTTATCTCTGTAATTCAAAATTGATCGCTCCCTAGTCATAGTTTTCTCGTAACGTAACTCCATAGTTTCATCTTTGGCGCTAGGAAGAGCTAAATTTCGCCCAGAGTGAAAACACTTAGGGCATCCATGCCAATAACATCCATAAAATTCAAAAATCAAACTATGCTCCGGGCTGTACCCGTCGACTTTTACTTTTAAACCTGGCGGAACCATCTCTCGAGTGTTACCGGCGTGCTTGATGTTGATATTTTTATCTTTTGCTACCCAGTCTAACCACTGCAACGCTGCAAGACTTTGATTGTCCACCATTCGATATCCATGTATTGGAACTATACCGATGGTATTTTCTTTAAGAAAATTTTTCTGGAATGTCTTCATACACATTTGGGGGACAGTTATCCCAGTGTAAGGGTCCAAACCTGTTTCATCTAAAAATAATTGGCGGAATTTAAGACATGCTTTGGATAAAATTTCAACATCAAGGCGACAGTAAAACTCGAGCTCATGTTTCAAGTTAAAAACGTAATTTTCCCGAACCTTTTCTTCGTGCCATTGAATTAATTCCTCTCGGGCTTTGGATGACATATCATCAGGACAAAATTCGGATAACGGTGGTATGGGACCCTCGTAGTTATCATTCTCTGGACGATTGAAAAGGTAGGGAAAATGACCTTTTGCAATGTTATCAATGGACATCATTTTGGGTAATTGACTAAGAGGGGCACTTAGAAATGATAGGCTATCAATCCATCTTAAATTACCATACTTAATAGTCAAAATTTTTGACCCACTATTGATAATTTCCACATTTTTCCACCCCTGTACGACGACCATCTCGCGGATGCAAAATTGGAAATCATAGCCTTTTCCGTTATGCGCTAAAATAGTGATTTTATCAAACGGCAGAGAACGTAAGTATTCTAAAAAATTATGAATGCAGTCATAACCCCGAAAAATATTCTCACGTTTCCCGCAGTTCTCGCAATCCTCGTCAATTTCGAAGTTATCTAAACATTGCTTACAATGTTGCCTAGCAACACAAAAGTTCGGCTCGTGTAAATACTCATCAGCATTAGTCTTCTTACACTGTGTCGCCTCTAAATCGTAAAATACGTACAAAAAATTATCTTTTATTTTCTTTTTACCCTCAAGACCAAGAAGCTCAGACGAAGGACTACCCTGATCTTGGTCTGGATCCGGATCAGCGTTTTTCCTCTCAGATTTTTTGTAGACCCGCTCCCTAATTGGCTGCATGTAACATAAATGCCCTACCGAAACATGTTGACCGCAAATAGAACAAAAAATTTCACCACAGAAATGTGGTTTTTTCCTTCTCGTAGTATTAAATACTTTAAAACAACTGGTGCATTGGTTGACAGCCTCACAAATGGTTTTTTTTTTATTGTATTTCTGAAAATGATTTTCGTAGCATAATTTACCATAAAAATATCTATTGCATTTGCTGCAAGTTACTCTTGCAACAGACTGATTGCACTGGGTTTTACTATTGCAGGCAGGACACTGAGTTGCACATTTGTGAGCTTCAACTTTATGATAGCCTACTTTACATTCCCTACAAAAAAAATTTGAGCCAAATGCTCCGCTTAAACTGGTTAATACTACGTAATGGTTGTCTTCAAAATATAGGTCAACATTTCTGCGCGGATAGAGAGGCGTTGAGCGCGGCCCTTCAAACAGAGTCTCTCGACCTGTTCTCTCACTCCAAACAGTTATAGTATAATCGACTAAAAATGTTTGGAATGAGAGAACATCGTCGATTGAACCTCCATTCTCCAGGTTCACTTTAGCACGGCGACACAGTAATTGAGCCTCCGATTTTTGGAGATTGCTGTTTTTCTTGGAGCGCAACTCAGATCTCCTAATGTTATTGAAATGTTTCATCATTTCCGGACTGTCATTCCTTTGACAGTGAGCAACTGCAAGGACCAAAGCTCTCGCTAGACAAAGATTATCTCTATTGTAAATAGGAATTATGCTCCTTTTCCTACTGAACCATTGTTCAGCGGTCATTGTCTTACTTACATTTTTGGACATCCTGTAGCCATTACCTGTCGGGATTTTAAGAACATTAAATTTTACCCGTAATGGCCCTGCAAGTAAAAATTCATCATTGGAGTTGAGAATTTTTTCGAGTCTTGATGCGATCACATCAACACTCAGCTGATGACCGAGCCGCGGTGAGATGAATAAAGGCATCTCTGGTTTGCTGACGCTCGTTATATCTAATTGAACTCGATCATCAGGCCCAGCATTGCTGTGTCGCATCAGGTACTCGATAAGCTGCTCAAAGGTTTCATGGAACCACTCCATTTGGTTTCCATCCGCTGGTATATCTTTTAAAACTAAAGAAACAGTTTGCTGCACAGTTAAAATGGAGTCAAATTGACGAGTTTCGTCACTTAAAATTTCAAAATTTAAATGATTTTCATCATTAAAATTTACATTACGGGATCGTGAGCTGGAGGAAGCACGTTGACGTGAGCGTGGCGTTGAGGGTGGCGGTGAGCGTGGCGCTAAGGGTGACGGTGAGCGTGGCGGTGATGCTGGTGGCGAGCGCCGCCTGGAGCGGGGCGTGGAGCGGGGCGTGGAGCGTGACTGTGAGCGGGGCTGCGAAGGTGACAGCCGTGCTTGCTGCCTTGTCCTACCACTTCCTGACTGTACGACTATGTCAGGATCGGCGTTGGCTCTTGTTGATGGGCCCGGTATTACATTCTGGAAGTGAACACAACGAAACCAATGCAAATATAAAGAAAATATCGATTTTATTTTGGAAAATGTTTCATTTTTGGAAGGAAATTTTAGAAACGCATGCAATATTTATACAGCTGAATATAGGCTGTCGACTGTTGAGGAATCGCTTCAATCTTTTTTTTTTTTTTTTATTTATTTATTTATTTATTTATTTATTTATGTATTTATTTATCTATTTATTTATTTATGTATTTATTTATTTATTTATCCATTTATTATTTAATAATTTTATTTTTTTTTTTTGGAATTTCAATAATAAATAATGGCGGAATTGGGTTTGAAAAATACAAAATAAAACAATCAAAAAATATATTTATATACCTCATTTGAAACTTGAGCAAGGTCCTCCAAAGAAGCAAACATACGCTCCACCTGAGAACATGATAGGGTCTCGTTTGCCGGCCATTCAACGGTTCCTTGAGGCAGGTCCTCTGTTGAATCTAAGAGCCGCTCCACCTGAGAAGATGACAGGGATTCATTTGCTGGCCATTGAACGATCCATCGCTGTTCCTGTTAAAATATATAATTACAACATTTTATTTATATTTCTTCTTCTTTCTATTTTCCCCCATAGCGTTGCTCAAAACTTTGCTGGAAAATCGCAATGAAGTAAAGAAAAAAAAAGGAACCTCCCTTGAATGGTAATATTTATTTAAAAGAATTCAGCTGAAGGCCCCTGAACCCTGAGAACAGCCCCACCCGCCCGCTCAGCCCTGAGGGCTGAGAACCCTGTTTTTAAATCGTATAGAGTCTTGTTTCTTTCTTTCTTTCTTTTCAGCGTCTTGCGAAACGGCTCACCTCTTCTTGATTGCCTTACATACACAAGAAACATACATAATGAACGCACACATGTGTTTTATTCATCTCTCAAAAACTCAGTCTAAATTTTCTTTTTTTTTTCTTCCGCTTCTTCTTCTCATTTATTATTTTTATTTTGGTGTTTGAAATGAAACTTACATCTGCAAAAATCTGCTCAAGGTCCTCCGCTGTCAGCTCCTGGTCCTCAGGCCACAAGTCTCCCATTTTCTTGACTGTTCAATCCATCATCTTCACCTCCACCTTAACCATCGTCCTCTATGGCCCAATTGTCATGTCAGAGTAAAAAATGTATTTTTAATATTTACTTCTTTTTTTTTACAATTTTTATTTTTTATTTATTTTTTATATATTATTTTTATTTTTTTTTTTTTTTACTATACCTATCATAACCAAGCGAATTGAATATATTTACAATTTTGTGTAGGAGCAAGCTAAATATTATTATTGGATAGAGAGTCTAAGTCAAAGTTCTCTAGAACCTCTACACTTTGGTTCAGAAGATTTTGAAACTCCTCGACATCCCTGGCCCTGTTAATTTCTACCAGAGGATCCACAGTATTATCAACCGAAATGTACTCCTCTATATGCTCCTCAGAGCTTGGCTCACCTAAGTTGGTGCAAAAAATGCATGTCTCCGGATCCTCGCAAAATTCGAAATGCTGCATCCTTTCACCGTAGGGTTGTGGATTCGCGTTAAATATCATGTGGACACCTCTTTCCTCGCACTGTACCACTCTTTCAGGCTCAAAATTTCTGCAAATTCTTGGATGAAAAAAAACATCATCCTCAAATACATAATTATCGATATATTCGTTTATTATGTAATTCATATCATGATCAATGTCATCATCATCATCCTCTTCATTTCCATCACTATCATTGACATTTTCGTCAATATCAACCCTCATCCTTTTAGCCTGCGGTGAAAGAATGGATTGCGAAGAATCCGGAGACAGCAGATCTACAACTTCTATCGTTCCTTCCTCCTCCTCCGACGAGGTACCCCTCAAATCAACAACCTCAGCATTGTGACGTCGCTCTATTTCCATCATACTCGCAGATGGAAAATGTGGATTAAAGGGCGAATGTGCTCCTGAGAACATGGTTACGTCATCGTCATCATCATCATTGGTCGTCTGAAGGAATATACTATTCTCGAGACTCAAATTTGGGGATACATTCGTCAAGAAATCTGCATTCGTCAGAAAAGCAATGACAGAAGCATCGCTGTCAATTGCAGACGGAGTTTCAAAAATGTTTCCCTCCAAAATCGGGAGAGGTTCGGGAGTGGAGCATGCCAGGGGTGTCGGGGGCAAAATTTCTATACCACTTATGAAAGAGTCGTCCGACTGGTTAAGAATGTCGGCTTCGATGGGGGAGTCAAACAAATTTCGGCGGCAGCGTGGGGCCATTTTCCTTTAAAATATCAAAAATCTTAAATGAAGATGGCGTGCAATAATAAATTAAGTATTAAATCTACGTAAAAAATTGTGGAGACAAAATCTAGAGAAATTGCATCATCCATTCACCATATTTTTCCGATAATTTGAAAAAACTAGGACTAAGTTCTCGTTTCAGATTTATCATTAAATATTTAAAATTTGAATAATATTCAGATGTCAAAAAACGACCGTAAAGTACTGCAACATTTTCTTCAGTCATAAATTCATTTGCACAATATGTCATTTTTCGCGAACAGGATATTAATTCACTTATCAAAAATCGTTCATAGCCGCATGGTGGAAATGAGGGATCGGAAAAATCTTTATTAAGCTCTCTCTGCAAGTCTTCAGCCAACTGCGTTAACACAAACACATAATCTTCAATTTTCAATGTAAATTTCACCTCCAAAATTTTTTTCGTAATTTTACTCTCAACAAAGCACTGATTAAATCGATCTGTAAGAATTATTAAACCTAACTGATTACTAATTGACAGTAATAACGCATATTTCAATTCTAACTTGAGTCTAAATGTAATAAATATGTAAAGTATGGCCTCCAGAGGTAATGCTTGAATGCATTTTGATGTAAGAGTTTCAACCATTCTTTTTTTTTTCTTTTTCTTTTTCTTTTAATTAATTCACTCTGGAAAAAAAGAGAGAGAGAGAAACTAATAGAAAAATAATAGAAAATGAGAAACAAATTTCTTTCCTTTGATTACTCCATCAATGAGGTTTTTACATTTCTCAACAAATTGCAGTAATAATTGTATTCAAAACTAGTTTGAAAAAGATGAAAGTGCCACTCCAAATTTGGAAATTTTTCCCAAGTGAAATATTTTCCCGATTTCTGCGTGGTAACTATTTCAATTGCAAGGAAACTCATTAATCTATTCTCGTAACTCAAACCTAACTCTTCATCCAACTGTATGTACATTTTAAAAAGCAGGAATATGTACTCCTGCGATGTTAACAAAGTTTTAAATTGCAATAGAAGTCCTCCGAACTTTTCTAAACATGCCTCTCCATCTTTTATGTTAAAATATTTTAAATTATATTCTCCTATAAGTGAACTAGCTCTGTAAATAAGGGATAGTTTTAATTTTTTAGGCATTGCCATTGTGGTTTGGAAAAAATACAAAATGTGCTCTAACGTTAAACTGTTGAAACAAGTCCTCTCGAGTCTCATAGGAGTTTCCGTCGCCATGATTTTCTGTGAACAGAAGAATAAATGCGGTTCGTTCTCACTTTTTCCGAATGAATAAAATATATTTACCTCCACAAGCGTCACTTATAATAATATTGGATGAACATGGCTCACAAGTAAGATGTTTGCTTGCAATTACAAGTTTGCAATAAAAAAAATAAAATAAAATAAACTTAGAAGAAAAATTAAAATTATTCAACTTCAAGTATTTTAAGTGACACCAGCCAGTCTCTGTCTTTTTCTCTCTCTCTCTCTCCCTCTCTTTCTCTCTTCTTTTCACTCTTTGTCCGTAGTTTTTTATTTAAAAATCATTCTGCTATTTTATCAAATGTGTGAACTGTATAAGAATTGGGTTAAAATAAAACGAAAGTAGAAAAAATTACTCACCACTCTAAGCGAAGATTACGGTTGTAGATAGACACAAAAAACCTCGCGTTAGGTTATAAATTAATTGCTCAAAAAAATGGTTGTAGATAGACACAAAAAAACCTCGCGTTAGGTTATAAATTAAATGTTCAAAAAAATGGTTGTAGATTGACACAAAAAAACCTCGCGTTAGGTTATAAATTAAATGTTCAAAAAAATGGTTGTAGATAGACACAAAAAAACCTCGCGTTAGGTTATAAATTTAATGTTCGAAAAAAAATGGTTGTAGATAGACACAAAAAAACCTCGCGTTAGGTTACAAATTAAATGTTCAAAAAAAATTGAGCTCGAAAAGCTCAAGCACAAGGCGGAGCACGCAAAGTAGGTACACGCGGTAGTACAGCGTAGGCGAAGAGCGGAATCTCGGAGTCGCACACCGAACGTAACCGAACCTAGAAAAGCTCAAGCACAACTTTTAAAGGCGGACACACAAAAGTACACGCGGTAGTACAGCGTAGGCGAAGAGCGGAATCTCGGAGTCGCACACCGAACGTAACCGAACCAGACGCGCAGATACGATATAAGGGTAGTTTTAAAAACACGTGGGGCTAGTATCCTAGTATTTATAATAGCTGGACATCATCCCTCTCTCTTCAACTGCATTTTCTTGCACTTTTCACCCATGGGTGTCGTTCTGTTTAGTGAAAATCATTTTTTTCCAAGTGGTGACTTGAAGGGATGATGTACAATTTGGCATTTCTGATGCATTTGTAACCTCCCACAACCCACGTGGTCCTCCTTGACCTACTCCCATAGTGTCAGTTGCAACATGATTGGTCCCCTTGACCTACTCCCACAGTGTCAGTTGCAACCTGATTGGCCGCCACATTAGCGTTGTCAACTCTTTGCCTTAATAGGTAAATCTTACAGTAAGCAGGAATGGCTATTAGTAAATAGTTCATGTTGCTTGGCATCAAGGTTGACATTACTTCTGATCCTTTAAGTTTTCCGCGAACCATTCGCGAATTGTTAAGCGCCCTTTTGAAATGCTCGCAGGATATCTATTGAGTCCAAATCCACCTAAGTGACTTAGACCAGTGGCGCCCTTTTGATCCACTCAGTTTGTCGAGACAAATTCGCGAATTGTAAAGACCTTATTGAAGTGCTGAAGTTATCTTTTGACTCCAAAACCTTACCTGATAGTCTTAAGCTCGGTGGCGCCCCTCAGAAGCTCCGAGGAGTCGTTACCACTCTAAAGAATTTCATGTCTCCACTTTATTTTATCCCTTGTCAAAGCACCGGCGGAGGCTGGCGCTGCGTCGCCGTCCCTGTATGACGATGCACCTTATTGTCATATTGTCAAAGCACCAGCGGCGGCGGCGGCTAGCGATGCGACGCTACCCGTGTAAGACGCCGCATTGTCAATCAGCGATATTCATACCTGGATCACCGTGAGTTATGATTTCCGGGAACCCTTGCCCTCCACGTTGAACAAATGACCATTGTGCGACCACATGCCAGGCGCCAACTCATTTGCCCGTCACCAACCCTTCCTCACCACTGAGCGAAAATCCATACCTATAAACGTGACCCTACTACTGACAACGGATATTTTCTTTTATGTTCACGTCTTTACTTATCAGGGAGCTTCATGCGACTCCTTCCTCCGAGTTTATCACTTTCCAGAGCGCTTATCACTTCTCCGGAAGCTTATCACGAATCACTTTATCCCGGAGCGCGACCCAACGAGCACGGACGAACGAGCAATTATTCGCGCGATCTCTGACGTCGATGAAAGATAGCTTGACGGTGTTCTGAGCGAAGGCATTTTCCATTGACAAGATCGGATTCCCGGGAAGGCCTCTCGAAACGGGCTTCAGTGTGATTTTTATCCGAATTACAACGGTCCCATCGGAGCGTTGAACGAGCCACCACTTGAACTCGCGTTTTAATAATCACCCGGCGCTAATGAGTGATCATGACGCGGCGCTGCTTCAAGTGTCCACAGCGTTGTCAAATTGCAAAATAACATTTTGTGATAAAAAAAGGATTAACACAGGAACCTTGTGCTCATACTTGTTTTTACTTACATAATATAGTACATGCAGAGGTGGGAGCCGAAACTTCAAATGTCTATTTTTTTATCACATGTCAACTCGCTCTCTCCTTTCTTACCTGTACAGCTACAAACGTTTGCTTTTTATTGTTTGAGCTATGTAATTCATTTTCGTGCGTGATGTAGATTATTAGTGCTTGTTGCTTATTATTTTGCCCTTTTCGCTGTTACTATGGCCTTGTCGCCATGGGACGTTGGACGTTTTCATGGGATTCGTCCCAAGTTCGAATCGTAGGAATGAAACTTCTGGGATTTTTCCCAGTTACCGTCTCCACGGGACGGGGCTCATACAGTCCTGCGACTAGTTTGCGCGGGAAGATAAATTAGTTAAAGTCGACTATTTAACCGGGATTAAAATAATAATTGCACTCAATGGGCCTGTTGCAAACTTTAGCTAGAGCAGAATGAAGAGTTGTTTCCTATAGATAATGCCTCAAAAATCACGATGAGCGCATCGGCAAAGTCTGAAATGCACTCATAAATTCACAATCTGCGTAAGAAATTTGCGTTATTTTGAGCTTCCCGCTTCAAAAACGATACTACTGCACAGGTGAACATTTTGTTAGAGGAGTCGCTCCATCGTCGGCGATATTCATCATGGCCGACGCTTGCGCAGTTCCTCGCGTAATTCGAGGAGAGTTCAAGGTCAATTAAGGCGGGCGAGGAAAATATGAACGGAAACACGCCGATTGTTATGGTTTAATCCTGTTCAGGTGTTATCTCGTCCCATCACACGTGTTTTGGCGGACTGGCGTCGGCCATGATGAGTATTGTCACCAATGGAACGACTCCTNCAACTTTTTTACAATGAGGGGGTCAGATGTTGTAAAATAATTGCAATTTTCTTGCAAGAAAGTTGAAATCATCTGGAAATTTTATTGCATTTAAATTGCAATTTTTTCGTTGCAAAATGCTACTTGGGTTGTGAAGTTATGAGTGCATTTCAGACTTTGCCGATGCGCTCATCGTGATTTTTGGGGCATTATCTGCAGGAAACAACTCTTAGTTTTGCTCTAGCAAAAGTTTGCAACAGGCCCATTGACAATTGGACACATTATTTTAACGAAACAAACATTAAGAATGGAGTAATGGATCAAATATCGCACGATTCGTTTTCACTTCTTCTTCTTCTCTCAATGGGTCCTGGGGGTACAAGTACCATGCCTGGTACTGGGAAAAATATTGATTAACTCAATATTTTTCCCAACTTCGTAAGTGGGATTTTTCCCCGGGACAATTCTCGTGTAACGGCTCGTGGAGACAAGGCCTATGTATGCTAGCCCTGATGATGAACGTTAGACGTTTAAAAAGGGCTCCCACCTCTGCATGTACAAACAAGTATGAGCATCAAGGTTCCTGTGTTAATCCTTATTTTATTATTCAAAGATGCTACTCCAACCATGTTTAAATATTTTGTGACGTACAATAAAAGTCATGATTACGTCGTCTGAACGATCTTCATAATGAGCATTGGTCCAGTTATAACCGGATACACAAACATGGATTTTACCTTTAGGATGCTGACCGTTGATGCTCTCTGTGATCTTTCGAGGCAAGTGTTGACCAGTGGCGATTTTTAAAAGTTGGCAACGCTAATTGTCTTGTCGCCCACCGTGCGGTGGCGCATGAAGCAACTATATCACAACAGAGATGTTGCACAGTATTATACGAAATTGAACGTATTAAGAATGACAGGCATCCTTTAAAAGTGCAGATCTTTCCTCGCAAAATAAATCAAGATACTTATCGTACACAGGAAAAATCTAAGAGCCTTTAGCTGAGGCAAATGTAGAGGTTTATCCGGTTCGGGTATAACAAGGTGGGAATTTCTTGAAAGATAATTAAGTCCTGTTACACCAAAGAGGTGTAGAGAGTTTTAGTGAATTTTGTCTCATGGAATTGACGCTCCCCCATTTTCACCAAAACTTTCACTATATATTATTCTCCGTTGGACCAAACAGACAAAACAAAAAAACAAGCAAACCCTCATTCTTCCAAGACATCATACATTTTCATCCAAAAACGTCGTGAGCAATTTTCATTTGTATTTACATGTGGGCCAATTAACTTTGGGTCTCAACTGGCACGTGGACCAAAACTCCCGTGCCGAAAAAACGCGTGGGCGTAAATTACTGGAAAAAACAGGTGCGCGGACAAAAAATCGTTGACAAAATGTCCTATAACCGATCAATTTGCAAAAGATACTAGAAAAATTTTTCTATGTCACTAAGTAACTATATTTTGAAACCAATTTTTGTGTGTGTTTTAACTTTTACCCTCGTCATTTTTCAGCCTGTTGTATCACTACTTGTCGCTTAGTTTTCTATCCATGTTTGAATTTTTAAACAGCGAACTAATCAAAACTTAGCCCCAAGGTCATACTAGTGTGTTACATGATTTTAAAAAAAAATCACTGGAAGTTTGATGCCACTGTGTGGACTAGTTTTCAATTGAAATAATAAAAAGTGTCTCATTTTCAATTATGAGAGAATATTAGGCAACTTGGAGTATGGTAGACTGATCTTGTCAAATACTTTTGCTTTGACCACTTCCCGCGACGATAATGAGAAAAAATCTGTAATTGCCTGAAACTGTTATAGTTGGAGGCAGAGTTGCATGACATTTTGCATTCTCATTTTTTGAAGGGCCTTATTTCACGAAGAGGTTTTAGTTAAATTATCAAATACGAAAAAAATTGGATCCGCAATTGGACGCATTTCTGCCAAACGGAACTATGTGCATCATGACATGAGCCCTGTTATACATTCATTCTTATGGGACGCAGGGCTCATATCTAAATGCACATAGTTCCGTTTGATAGAAATACGTCCAATTGATTGTTGCCCTTCTTCTAGTTGCTGTTTGGAATCGAAAAGAAGTGCAGCTCTGCAAGATCCAAAGTTATTCATGAGTTAAAAGAAAAATTCCAGTTTACATTTTCTGTCTAGAAAAAACGTAACATTTAATTCAACAATAACAATTAAACGCAACTTTTAAAATCAGATAGAAAGAGCACTTTACGTAAAGGTGGCAATATGACTAATATTGTAAAAAAATAATTAATAAATACACAAAGAGAACAATCAAACAGGCATGATTTCTTTCAATGCCTTTAGACATATTTGTACATGAAGCAAGTATTACACAAAATCTCACAGTCTTTTTAATCCGTTATAGATAAATCATCTCAGAACTTTCTCTGCACAAAAAGGGATCTCTTACTAGATTCTCAGTGGAGTTAGAAACTGTGACTTCCCACGCCACCACTCAACCGTTTATGTTACCCTCTCAGTGGTTGGTTAACGACGATGCCGAATGGGGCTTTTGGATCACCCTAGCCCTTCCTTAGCGCCTTCATCAGAGACAAGAAACCCTCCACTAGTATCTTGAGAATGGTGGAAGCTTCTACTTTCGGGGCTTCAACATTCAACTGTCGACCTACATACTTTGCCGATGGTTAACAACGTGTTGGCAGTTTCGTTTGGCAAAAAACGGAAGTTCCGCGGGAAACTTGTTTGGCTCATGAAGTCACTCGAAGTTCATCATCTACCATGTAGGTAGGTCAACGGCCGAAAAAAAAGAGTGATGACTGTTGCTCCCTTATAATGGAGATGTCGCATGTGTGAGGGTTTTGCGATTTGACTGTTGATTCTTATGTAAAAATTCGTGAGAAACACGATAGTGCCACCGGTTTTCTCTGGAATCAACTCCTTAGCTCAAATAAGGACAAAATGGAGGGGATATCCCACCCTACCCTGAGAGTCCACCTCTACATCAAAACAAACTCTCCACGCAGAGATAGAGAGCAAATACATTGACAGGGCTGCCGCTTTATTTGGGGACTCCAAAACTGAAAACACGGCAACCCTGCTAATGTATTTGCTCCCTATTTTTTGCATGGCAAGTTTGTCTTGATGTAGAGGTGGACTCTCGGGGTAGGGTGGGATATCCTCTCCATTTTGGCCTCAACTTGAGAGCTTTTTTTGAGCTTGGGAGATGATTTCAGAGAAAACCAGTGGCACCATCGTGTTTCTCGCGAACTTTTACATAAGAATCAACAGTCAAATCGCAAATTCCTCACACATGCAACATCTCCATTCCTGACCGTAAAAGCTTCCCCCTGTCGCCAAGAGGCTAGTGGAAGGTTTTTTGTCTCTGTCTACCCATGGGCTCTAGAGTCGGTCCTCCAGAAGAACCACAGGACGACGATGCCGAACGGGACTTTTGGATGACCCTGTAGCCCTTCCTTAGCGCCCTCATCCATGAGACCTGGAGTCGGTCCTCCAGAAGAACCACGCGACGACGATGCCGAACTTGAGGGCGGCGGCGGTCCAGAGGGCGCCGGCGATGCCGAAGGGGGTCCTGGACCAGAATCCGCCGATGACGACGCCGGTGAGGAGGAGGATGGGGGCGGCCGTCCGGCGGTTCCGCTCCACGTTGCTCCCGAGTCCGGCGAAGAGGTTCCGGTCGGAGAAGAGGTCGCAGTAGCTGCTCGTCAGCACCACGCTCGTCAGGCCGGAGTACTCGAGCGCCCGGCTCGCCACCGCTTGACCGCTCGACTGGAACGCCACCAGGGAGAGAGGAACCAGCACCTGATTCAGGAAACACCAACAATTATAGTTTAACAAGTTTCATATCGGACGGATTTCTGCCAAACGGAACCAGAGACGAGTGAGAAAGAATACAGGTACTCATCCTTTCTCACTTGTATATCACTTGATAATGTTTCTTCAATGTAACTTCCTTTAAATCTCAAAAAAGATTTAGAAATGTGTTTATTAAGTGAGGATTCTAGATCTGAGGGGACTGGGGAGAGGAGGGGGATATTTGGAGGGGGGAGGGCAGTTATGGGTGGAAAGAGAATTTGGGACCTCGGTTATGGAGGACGACGTATGAAAATCATAAAATTCTTCAAAAAACAGAAAAAAAGCATCGCAGCTATCATATAACCATATATTTTCAGCACGGGCCTCGCAGGCCCGCGTTAATCATTCTAGGGATTGATATGAAAAAAAAAAATCTCTGTGCTTAAAAAAAAAAAAAAAAATATCAAAAATTTTTTTTTCAAAAACTATGTTTTTAAGGGTTTTTGTAAAGCTATTTGTGAGGGACAGACCTCTCGGACAAATACAGCTGCCGTGACTAGAAAGAAAAGAGCCCACCGGGCCTCGTAGACCCTGTTCGTCATCTAAGGGTAAAAAAATTACAAATGTAATTATTCTTTGATAAAACATATATCATATTGCTTAAAGTCGCTCCTTATTGTCCTTACCGAAACAAAGGATGCTGACTTGACATTCTAGATGTAAAAAGCGTGTGACATCTCACAAAACGCTGAGTTAACCGCCACAGCATTTAGTTTTACATCTTGACATTGCTGAAGTAACTGCCGTGGCGCTTCATTCAGCGTTTTGTGAGTTGTCGCACATTTTTTTACAACTAGAATATGTTAAGGTGATTCGATGGACGCCTTATTTTGTGTCAGAACGGCATGCGATATATCGCGTCAATTTGTTCCATTTTCCAGCTACTCGTCATTATTCTCTAATTTTGAGATCACAATTCTGTTGTCAGGAGACTAAAGCACTCACTTACCAATTTTAACAAATAAATTCAACGTAATAAAGGCGTGGTTTTTTTAGAGAGAAAATATCGCATTTGAGTGCAGTTTCGATATCAGTATCGAATGCGATGTTTCCTCTCTCTGAAAAAAACCACGCCTTTATTACGTTGAATTTCTTTGTTAAAATTGGTGAGTGAGTACTTTAGTCTCCTGACAACAGGGTTGCAATCTTAAAATTGGAGAGGAATGACGAGTAGCTGAAAAAATGGAACCAATTGATGCGAAATTTCGCATGCCGTTCTGACACAAAATATGGCGTCCATCGAATCACCTTAAGTCAGCATCCTTTTTTTTCGGTGTAGTGATCTATTCTGTCATTAGCGAAACTGAGCGACTTCCTTACCTGCCAACGTAGTTCTCCGGGCTTGACAGGCGGCGCCAGGAGCACGATGAGCGCAGCCGCCACGATCATAGAAAGCTGGACGGTGAAGCTGAAGACCAGGACCCAGCGCTTGGTCGGTGTGAAGACCCTGTGGAGGCGGCTGAACCAGAAGGACCCGACGCAGAAGGACGCTATGCTGGAGGCGGACTTGATCCACCGCGTGGAGGCCCCCGGGTCGACGATCCCGAGCCCCACGTATACCGTGTTCCCGGTCTGCATGGAGACGAAGGAGCCCCAGACGGCCGTCGCGAAGGAGTCCAGGAGCCCGGTGATGATGTAGCAGATGAGGAGGACCAGATCCCCGTGCCGCTTCGTGACGCAGGTCGTCATGTGACGCCGGAAGGAGGGCTTCTCGCCGCCGGAGAGAGGGGTCGTCGTCGAGGCGATGGAGATCGCGGAGGCGGTCGTCGTCGTGGCGATGGAGATTGTGGAGGCGGCCGGGTTGGGCGCCGCGTTGGTTGACCCGTAGTTGGTCATCTTGGACACCGTGGTTCTGGAGTTCGTATTTGTGACGGTTGCTCAAGTTATTTTAACTAGATTACTGAAATTACTTTCTTGATGAGACGAATATAGTTGATTATTTATTGTTCCTGTAAAACAAAATCAGAATTGTCTGATCATTGCTTCTAAATGATCAGATTTCAACACGTTGTTCTGCGCGCAGATTATTATGTATTTAAAGTTTTATGAAGGAAAAAACATACTTATACTCAATCACAATGCGCTGCTGAACGAAATTTTGAACCGAGGGCGCAGTTACAAACGTCACTGATCACTGGAATATCTAACAATCACAAGTTTAGTTCATTAGGGTGTTGAATCTATCAGTATTTTAAAATGGTAATGAAAATAAGGCTAAAAACAAGGAAAGTACACTTTGATTAAGAATTAAATCGCTAAAATTGAACGAACAGTTAAAAATTAAAAAATAATTAAAATAATTAAACGGACAAATAATTGAGTGAGGAAAGATTGAGTTTTTAAATTTTAGCGATTTTGTTTATTCTTAATTTACAAAGGTTGACTTACGTAAGTAACTTGCATGTAACTTTTACCCTACAGTTATCGGAAGTAACCTCGAGTCAAGTTAGGTTAGGTAAGATCTTGAGTATGCGACTTGCTGAAGGTAACTAAAATGAAAGAAACTTATCATAAAAAAGTATCCGTGGTTACTGGTGTGGCTGAAATTAACTCTAATATTTGTACAATTATTACAACATCGAACACTATCAGTATACAAAAGTTTTCGATTTCAGTACATTATATACATATTTAAAAACTTAGCATTTAGAACCTGTTACATGCAATGAACACAATTTAAACTGCGCTGCCCTCAATAAACTTGTGGTTTAGTTCATTAGGGTGTTGAATCTTTCAGTATTTTCAGAAAAGGCAAAAATTATATTCTCAATATAGTTTACCCTAGACAATCAACACTAATTAACGTCAATATGTTTTGACAAATTAAAATGCATAACATGTTTCCATTTTCGGAGCTGAAAAATTAAGCTGATCGCCTGTTTTGACCCTGATCTGTTGGAGGATTAGGATTCTGCCCAGTGATATCGGTAAAGTACAAGGAGGACTCTTAGTTGTCGTATATTCCTTAAGTTGCACTGATAACTCATTCGTGGTTAAGCTATCTATCGGCACGAGCGTCAGTTGAGTTCGCACACTAACGAGGATCCAATAATATCGAATTTACAGCATCCACTTCGAGTAGTTTTTGTGTTGTCTTGAGATATATTTGATGTATTATTGCTTGTGTTGTCTCTTTGCTTAAACTTCAGCTCTATAAAGCTCAAGATCCATTTCACCTGCAATCATAAAATAGGAAGTTATACTTAGATCTACTGAGAAAGCTGCGTAAGACCTTAGCAAATGTTCATCGAAACAGAGACTAGCTAAAAAAAGAGGTAAATGCCATATCCGGGTTCGAAATTGTAAGATTGAAATGCTATTCAAAGCCTCTGCCTTTGAAGAAATGTATTTGATCACGTGCCACTTCCCATAAGTAAATTTCCTTCCCACCAAAGCACCAAACACGCCTTTGGCGTTGCTATCTATGATTTCAAGAATCTTGCGCTTTGAAAAAATCACGTCTACATTTTCCTGTTTCCTAACTGTCTTGAAAAAACCCGAGATCTGTGGAAGGTAGAGCGCCTCCAATGATGTCTATAGGCAACACAAACAACCATTGAGTACTAATAATTGTATTCAAGCTCAATTTACGGCGCTACGTTACAGCTTTCCAATCCATTAGTCTCATTTACTGACATATAATGGCCTCGTTTTCTCTATATTTCTGCACGATGCACATAATTTACTACATCAATTTCTTTACCAAATTAACTATACCTAATTTCATTTATATTTTCTTTATTTTCTTGACTCCAGGATCACAGAGCGGAAATTATTTTCGAAACGCTGCGTAGCGATGATCAAAAATACAATTTGACTTTTTACGCATAATTGGTAAAATACCATTGTTGACTGTTTACCTGTGACACACATATCAAATTATGAATAATAAAGCGCAACATAAAGGATTTGCACAGGAGAGTGTAAAAAAAAAAGGGGGGGGGAGAAAAATTTGAGGGTGCAAAGCCCCGATGTATTCACCATATTGATATTATTGGATTTATATATTGACATCAGTTATACCGCTTGACCTCAGATATTTCAGCGATGGGATGTCATACATTTCTGCTTTAAAACTCTCACACTAATACCTAGATCATCTCTCAAAAATTGGAATAAGTCTACTGGTGAAAGTTGGAGCGTTCTTGTTAGCGTAGGTTATTCGCTAATTGCTTTTAGATCAACCAAAGCAAAATAATTTGACGCTGCCATTATTTCGTTGAACAACTCTCATCATTCAAATAGCTGCTGCGTCAAAAAATACTTCATCGCCGCTTTCCTCTCCTGAGAGAATATTTTCATCTCAACATTTCAATTGAGTCCTCCTATCTATTTTTTAATGGTTTTAAATCCTCTCGCTATTGAAACGTTATTAATAACTCGAAGAGCCCATTGTTCCTAAAGTAATTAATTAGGACTTGATTATTCCACTGCTTTAAGGTGGTGCTCTGCGTATTCCCCCTCTAAGTGTGTCTGTGTCCCCAAATTAGAATCTTGGCAACTTAGTTCACATTGGATGAGGGTGTATAAGATGCGTTTTACTGAGGAATTGCCAAAAAAATGTCTCATAGGTTATTATACAGCTTGTAAAAAAATCCTCAAAATCAGCGTATTTTTCGAAAAAATTGGCTTGGTATCCACATAGAAATGTGCGAGACCAAAAGACTCATATTTATTGTATTGATTTCCACACGGAGAAAAAAACCTCTTGCGTGGGACCCGAAGTTTGGGTCATATGGATCTCTGAAGTTTTCGGATTGAGCATCTGAACACTTTAGGTCTATCTACCGAGGTTCGGATCACACATCTGAAACTCCAGTCCTTACATCTGAAGTACTTCAGATGTGAGCACCGAAGTTTTTCGGATGTGAGAAACGATGTTGTTTGGATGTGAAAACCGAAGTTACTTCAGATGTAAGAACTGAAGTTTCACTTTCAGATGCGTGATCTGAACCTCGACAGCTAGACCTAAAGCGTTCAGATGCTCAATCCGAAAACTTCAGAGATCCATATGACCTAAACTTCGGGTCCCACGCACGAGGTTTTTTTCTCCGTAAAGATAGATCTTGATCGCTGCTCAAATTAAAATGAATCCAAAACAATTATTTTGTCAACCGTGGATTAGTCTCCTCGACCTTGTGTGACACTTTCGAGTGGGTGCTATTATACATCGCCCCTCTGACGTGAAGCGTATCTCTATTACCGCATGAGCCGCGAGAAGCATAGAGTTATCTGGAGCACAGGGGTCATGTGGAAACAGAGGCGCGCCCTCTAGTCAGAGGAGCAACATTACTGATCTTTGGCTACTTGAAGTGAGGCGAGGATCTTATCTGTGGCGTGGCGTGCTTTGCGATTTATCGATTGATCCGCCATTCAAACTGTTGGAAAAGGATCGATAAACAGGGTGTTCGAAACGAACACCTTAATAATCGATTCTTTACCATAGCTTCAAATGGGGAAATATCTATAATCGATCACTGACGGCTCGATCCTGGATCTTATCTATGTTCTCCCAGAGAGTGAATTAGTAATCATAGTAACTTATCTGACATGGTCCGGACGTTAGCCAAATATATTCTCACGCTAATCTTGCCGATTGATCTCTTACATTATTAACGATACATCATTATTTTTATCCATCTATACTATAAGCTCCAAGACCTCCTAATTTTGCGAAACTGGTGACGCTTAGTTCCAGCGTTCTACCGGGCCGATTTTCATGATTTTTGCGGCTATCGACGGGCAATTGTCTCTAGATAAGCCAACTCTTTTCAGATTTTGAAAATATGGCCCAGGTTTTTTTATATTACGTGGTAAAGTTCCGAATTCTCCCATATAAACAATGTAAATTTATGTGTTTTGTCATAGTTCGTTTGAGCATTCTACTGGGCCGATTTCCATGATTTTTGCGTAAATCGACAGGTAATAGGCTCTAGATGAGCCCGCTCTAATCAGATTTTGGAAAAAGGACCCAGGTTTTTTTAAAATCACGTTATTAAAGTGAGTGAATTTACAGAGTGCTCCGGGACTGCTACCGCTATGCGCGGGAGGATGCGCAGTGGTCGAGGAGGTTGCGCAGTAGGTGTGTAGCCTGCGCATCAGCTCTACACTTATCCACACAAGATTTCCGCCGATTTTCCTCAAGACGAGCGGTGGCCGAGTCGTCTACGACGTCGGAAGTGTCCACACTGATCAAGGTGTGGGTTCGATCCCCGCCTCCAGAGATACATAATAATTATCCGATTTAAACAGATCGTTGTTTTACTGTAATATTTCATCAAGCAGTCATTCCAAAACGCTTCCTTTTGACTTCAAAAATTTTTTTTTTCTTTATTCATCAAAACCAAAAATTATTTCATTCTATTAAGTATACCTCATATCGAATTTTTTTAGGGGAAAAATAAAACTAATACTAATAGGAGGGTAAAAATAGGGCCGCGAAGCGGCCCATTGATGGCGCGGAGCGCCTTCGGGGGGTTGGGCCGCGTAGCGGCCAGGGGGCGTAGCCCCCTAGTGTTCTCCTAAAGAGACTAAATAGGTAACCGTAGCAACTTATCTGACATGGTTCGGACAGGACGTTAGCCCAATACATTCCCACGCTATAATCTTGCCGATTGATCTCTTACATTATTAACGATACATTTTGTTTAAGATAAGCACCTACTCAAGTTGCACTGTCCACAATGGAATTTTTGCGCAGCCTTCCTGTTATCTTTGAAGTATTTAAGAAATTAGAATGGCAAAGATACGGTGTTCAGCTTGAAAAGTGTACGTGTATATTCAAACGCGAGTTGTAAAAGTGGCCGAAATGCAGAATGAGAGGTTTTTTTCGCTTATAAATATACCTCACTACAGACCTGACCACGATAAATGAAATCAGTTCATTCGTTTCGTATACTTTATTACTTACAGACATAGTTGGAAACCAAAGGGGGCGGCAAATTTTGCAATCTTTTTGAATGTAGGTATCAAAAAAAGAGAGGGAAAAATCGGATTCAGAAAATAAATTACACACGAGAAAAGGCGACAAAATCTCTCATTTCCTGAGAGTGAAAGTATAGTAATTTCTAATTTTGTCGTCTTTCGGTGATACAAGAGACAACACCTTTAGTTAGTCGAGTTAAGAGAGAAACCTAACACGCAATTTGACTTGGAACGGAGCGGCCCGGCGGTCGGCATGAAACACATAGCGCCTACGAGACTGCATGCATACTTCACGCATTGCTCCAAACACACTGCGGTCAGCAGCCGTCGGCTTGAAACGCATAGCGCCTACAAGACTGCTTGAATACCTCACGCATTGCGCCAACACAGTGCGGTCGGTGCGGCGGTGGAAGTTAAAATTTTTAACCACATTTATGTTTGTTCTTTCATTATTTTTTGGCTCATTTCTTATAAATGGAGGACCTTGTCCAAACAGGGATGGGTTTACAGAACTGAACTTTTGTTAGTGTTGACAGCAGGGCTTTTACAAAAAATGTGCCCAACGCGAGTAAGCGCGTCTTAAACACCCCTCCCCCACCGACACGTTCACTTAATGGTTTTATAGATCGTATTCGACAGATCACACAGGAGAGATTATATTGATATTGATTGGATCAATATGTAACCAAAGCCTCAAAAGTCAATTTAGAAATCTGAGGTAACCGGGTCTGATGTGATCGAATTTTTAGTCTCTCGAGTAGCAAATGGCAATGAAAAGTGAAATTGTTAGGAATTTTCTCAGTTTCAGCTTTTCCAAATTAAATCCTAAAAATTTGGTTTGAGGTTATGTTCTATTGTTTTGAACCAAATGATGTATTGAACCACTATCGAATACGATCTATTGATGTTTCAAATCAAATGAGAAGGGGGCGAAAAAACACAGGCGGCATGTAGGTAAATCCGGCCCTGGCATACACATGAAATTTTCACTACAGATACGCGGGACAAAAGTTTAGACAGAAAATGTATTTTAGAGAGAAAACACCGCTTTTTGTAACTGTAGATTCACTGTTATTTTATTATCTCTATCCGTCATAAACCGAAAATCAATTATGCTCAAATCTGTTCCCAGGATATTTATTTATTGCTCCATATATCTGCCGCAGTTCAAATTGTGTTACGGGGTAGCTAGTGCTATGGATTGAAAATAAAGAAAAACTTACTTTAAAATGTTTTTATGAAAAGTTTCTTTTCTTTACTTTTCGGCCTTGGCCATCTTTATTACTTTAATAAAAAACATTTAATTTAAATTCTTCTTCGTTTTTAATCAATGACACTGGCTACTCCATAACATAATTACGTTCGTTGCCATCACCAAAAAATGTTGTACATCAGCGCATTCAAAAATAGTTCAAATGTTCAATGAACTATTTCGACGGTAGGTAAAACCACCACACCACGTACCTCGGTTTATTTCGACGTTGCAGACTTCCTGTCATACTTTATTTTGTGAATGGCAAACTACTGAACGTCGATTTTTAAACATTTCTGTGATTTTTTTTCTTTATGAAAAAAAAACTCTATGGAATCTTCAAGTTTGATATTGAATTGTTCTCTTTCAAATAAATAAAATAGGAGCAGACATTCTTAAATACCGTTAACGAGATACCTGATCTGGTCACCGTCGTTTATAGGTCGCAAAGATCTTTCTACAACTTGGTTGTGGGAAACAGCGTAAATTGAATCTTGATATATCCGTAAATACACCTTTTATCAAAAATTCAGTTGCAGAAAAAATTTTCTCTGCTTAATATCGTCTATCTGGTAATTTACTTATGATTTCAACTTACAATATGCAAGTACCTATTTTAATTTGATTTACGAATCAAATATAGAGGAATACACCGATTCGATATTTCATTTCCATGCATTTAATGAAGATAGTACCTCACTGAAAAACATTTCTCGGCGTTTTTACCAAGGTCCGTTAGTACCTTTACTATCTCACTTTTTTTACCAATTATTGGTAATTTTACCATGACAGACTGGTAAGCTTACCTAAAAACCGGTATTTTTACTGTTTTTTCCAGGTAAGAATACCACTTTTATTGGTAATTAATTCCCGGTATCTTTGCCATTATATCTCGGTGATTCTACCACAGTCGATAAAAAATATTGGCGTTTTTACCAAGGTCCAGTAAAATTACCGAAAAAGCTCAATAATTTTACCGAGATTTCTCGTTAAAATTACCAATTCCATAAATGGTAATTTTACCAAGAAAAAACTGGGATCAAATAGAACCCTGAATTCTTGGTAATTGTACCCTTTTCTTAGTAAATACACCGAGATTTATTTTTCAGTGCTACAAGTGCATAACTAGCTCAAAAACTATAACTGAAAACCACATGTAATCTTTTAGCGACTGCATTGCAATCTTGATTTCTCACAGACGTCCTTTATCTATATGTGCAGCTATACGCAGTAGTCTATTCCGCTGAACTTGACTTTAAAATTGTCCCCAATTATTGCATAACCGTTTGATAACAACGCAGTCATACTCGAGAGAGAGTCATTTCGTTCTAGATGTACAGATAGCTCTTCTATTTCTTCTACGAATGACTAGGGCATAGCCCTGTTTGTCAGGCCGTCCGGTATCGAGCATAATAAACTATTTAAAAATAAAAAATATAAAAATCACTAAACAAGTACAGACATAACTATCTATAATGTGTCACGCCTAATGAAGGAGTGGGGTTACTTCTCTGGCGTTATTCGCTTTAAAATAAATTTTTCAAATATTGTATTTCAATTTCTTTTGCTTTTCGGACGCTCTAGTCCGATGTCCTTTGCTTTGAATGTTAGTTAATAGTCTGCGTCACCTACTTTTGCAACCACTGCTCTTTTCAGCAAAGGCTCAAAACATTGTTTAGCTGCGCTCCATCAAACAAATGACATTTTTTAATACTTTTGTAGTAGGCAAAATCTTGAATAAAACTTTAAAAAAAAATATGAAAAAAATGAAAAATGCGTGGTAGCTTCCGAGATTGTATTTTGGGCTGTGAATCTAAAATGTCCTTAGTTTTTTTAAAAATGCACCCATTTTCCTTGTAGAGACCCGTGTTTTTAGAGGGGGAGTCTCTATTTTTGGAAAATTGATGGATAAATGGGAAAAACTGGAATCATTTTATCATAGCTTTAAAAAATATACCAGAAACAACCATTGTATCCCTAGTGTTTTTAAACGGAAAAAGTCCAGTTCTTGTTACTTTTCCCTTAGAGATAGTTCTTTTGACTGCTCAGTTTGTTGCAATTGTTTTCTCCTTGTAGATAGATTGGTTGGAGCCAAACAAAGTATTAATTTTTTACTTTGACACTTTAATTCCAGAACTTTACCTACTCCTACAAAGACCACACTGGAAAAAACAAAAAACACATTGGATCTAGAGTCCAGACTCTTAAAAACATTTCTTGAAAACATTGACAAGAAAAAGGACTCTTGATTCAATCAGAATCAAGCTTAAATCAAAAGGAAATCCGATCAAATTAAGAGGCTTGTTTCTTGATTTAAGCTTGAATCTGATTGAATCAAAAGTATTTTTTCTTGTTGATGTTTTTAAGAGTCTGGACTCTAGATCCAAAGTGTTTTTTTTTTTCCAGTGCAGTGTTTGAAAATTGGGACAGTGCTTTAAAATAAAGAGAAGAAATGAAGCGAATTAAGTCGTAGAGGCTCCATTTGATAGCATGATAGAAAAAACGAATGTGCAGAAATTCGAAGTTGTTTACTTTAAGATAAACTGAATGCAGAATGCATCAATCAGAGCTGTTATCACACATTGACACGCAAAATTTTAGTGCGTCTGCGTACACTAATGAACCAGTTAATGAATGAAAAAAAAACATACCTGATGTTCAGCCCGAAGGGATATTCCACACGATCATAAATATTTCACTTACAATTATGCGTGAAAAAAATCCATAACAAATACAAAATTCCAGCACTATCGTTCGGATGTTCGATCGGAAACTTGCCGAGAAAGAAATACCGATCCACGTTGTGTACTTAACGGCATAATCTAATCGACTACCTACTCGTACCGCGAGTTTTCCCCGCAGCTTCACCAAATCGTGACAGAGTGTTTATGTGTGCGTGAGAGGTGAGATATTCGAATTCAAATCGGACTCGTAATCTCAGCACCCGACTGCGAGGTGCGAGGTAGAGGGGAATTCAGCGTAGAACAAGCGGTATCTTCCGAGATTGAAGGCGCTTGGTTCAGCTATCTGGTCAATACTGCAGCCCTAGGGGAAAAAGTCGCATGAGCCTCCAGGCAGTGCCAAATTTCCTTTGATAAAACACGAATTTTTTTATAAACTTATGAATATTTTTCTTCCGATTTTTCAGATAATTTTGTTCTAAATTTAACGTAAAGTTCTTGAAAATTTCGCGGGAAAATTTGCTTAACTTTTCTCAAAAATTAGCATTTTATCGAAGGAATTTTAGCAACTCTCGAATTTTCATACAGCGTTTTTTCTCAGGACGGCAGAATAATGGAGTATCTATATTAAAAAAGTCGAGAAAAATGGCCATGGATGTCATATAGACCATTAGGAGCCTCAAAAATGGCGGTGAATCAAGGTGGAACTTAGGTGTCCTTAAAGCCCCATAGAGCTTAAGATGAATGAGCATTGCTATACTCGAAATTAAAAAAAATCATGAGGATCAGCTTTATAGATATATTGATCTCACTGGCAGAAGATATTGCCTCTTTTTCAAATACATAGATGATCATGCGATAATAGTTTCTCGCGAAGATTACCAGTTTGTTAAATTAAAATTATTCTTCCTGTCTCCACTCGCCTGCCGCCGGCCTATCGCTAGCTATCCAACTTTTTACGTTGAATCTCGCATTTATGATAAGGCAATTGCCTACCGCGTATTTGAAGGCGCTATTTAGTGTGTTGAATATATGGAAAAGCCAAAATTTCACCGATTCGCAGACGATTTTCTTTCAATCGACGGATTTACTACCTCGTCATAATGGTTCTTAGGTGCGGTTATTTCATATTAGACTCAAAAGTAAAAATGAGTGCCTCTAGTTTGTAATCTCTCATTCCGTTCTACTTCCTTCTGCCTCTTCAGCGGGCTGATTATTGTAATTGATGGACAAACCTATAGACAAAGAAGCGGGAAAAATTGGGCATTCCTATCGGTTGAAACGAGCGGCTATAATAGGCTGAGGGTAAAAATGATGGACTAACCATAGGGTATCGCTCGGGATTGCCGTTAGTTATAGTCTATTACTGATCCACTTTTTCCATTGTGACAACAGCGCGCTTCCACCAATAGGGTAGCTCCACGTTCTCTTTGCCCTCTTTGCCTATTGCTTTTTCTATCAACTTCAATAAGAATCCCGCAGGCTCCATCATTCTGAAGATTTTAGACGAGGCACTTCAAATCCCTGAACAGTCACTGACTGCACACTGGAAAAAAAAAAAAAAAAACACATTAGATCTAGAGTCCAGACTCTTAAAAACATCGACAAGAAAAATACTCTTGATTCAATCGGATTTAAGCTTAAATCAAATAGCAAGCCTCTTAATTTGGGCGGATTTCCTCTTGATTTAAGCAAAAATCTGATTGAATCAAGAGTCCTTTTTCTTGTCAATGTTTTCTCGAGTCTGGACTCTAAATCCAATGTAATTTTTTTTCCCAGTGCACGCTTTCATAACTTAGAATTTGAAAAATGGTGTAAGAACAAAAAACAACTCAGGAATTTTATTTAAAAATGTTATAATTAAGGCAGTATCTATGTACAAATTTATTTTCAAAATATCACAAAAAATACAAATGGAACCTATCATGTTAGGATCGGATTGATAACTTTCAATTTTTTTTATTTTTACAAAATACAGCTGATGCGAAAACGCAAAACAGAGATGTGCCCGAGGAAATCAGAATATGATACATGAAGGATTTTATTTGAACATTAGTCTCTGCATAATTTTTTATTGGCGTACTATGGTTAATTTTTGCATTGTTCTTGGCTACGATATCTGTGTTGAGTATTGAGGTTGCATTAAGACAATTAGTCAGGAACTCAAAAATATGGCAAATCGTTGCATTATCTCTTCAACAAGGTTCTGATTTTTGGTACAGTCACATTGTATAGCCGCAACTTATTACGAGTTAGAGCAACTATAACTAGAGTTAACTTTGTCTCAGATTTTCGGTAAGGAAATTGGCTAAATATTGAATGGATTCGTCACACGCAAGAGATAATTCCGCGTGAATAGAAATAGAAATAAAATGGGACGAAAATTACGATGGTCGCAAAAAATTGCCGCAAGTTGTCGCAAGTTGCCGCAAATTGCCGTTGCTTAGTTCAAGGTACAGTGACTTGAAACTGCCCTGCGACGCGAGAAACTCTGTATAAAGCGCGTTACAAACTATGAAGAAGTTGCAATATAGAGTAGATTGCAGACTTTTTAAATTTGACACCATCGTGGTTTTCGTGGCGTTTTACCTCCATAAAATCCACACACACGGCTGTATATCCCTTGCACGCAACAAAGTCATTTTCGCGGACTCCGAAGTCATTTACATCCCTAAGAAGAATTCAATTAGATAATCATATGGCGCTCTCTGAATAATATTCGAAATACCAGACTGATTGTATTTATATAAAGATGACCCACCAAAAATAAGATTTCACAACTTCTGTCGTATTCCTGGAACAACAAATGAGCTATCGTGTTTGCCGGTGACAAAATGGGTAGAGTCAATAATTTTCATACAAGTTTACGATTAAATTATTTTGTACCTACAAGAATTAAATAAATAATATGCACGATCCGGAATGAACCATCGATTAATTGATGTTCAAAGTCTTACGCTTTCATCGAAACGAAAAAAGACTCGATTTTACAGATTTTTTCGGTGTCTTCACAACATCATATATAATGAATACTTATTTTATGGGAGGGAAACATCAACACAAAACTCAACAATAAAGAGCAAAAGTTCACTAGCAGGCAGTTTGACGTCAGTCTTCCTAATCAGGTCTTTGACTTCAAACTGATCGTAGACCCTCAGATTGATATCATATTGACGTTATATGTCGTCCTGCCGACTTCATATTAATATTGCCCCGATGCACTATGGTCCGAATAGCCGGTTTAAGCGGCAATAAATCGAAAAAGTGAAGTTTGGAAAAAGTTAGATTTTAAGCGGTAGATCGATAGTACATACTGTAGAGAAGAATCCTGTAAAATTTCACTTCGATTAAAGCACTAATAAAGATGTGACAAGCCTGGGAAGTGCGGCGCGCGGAGCACCTTATGAGTGCGATTCCAGTTACCGAGCGGCAGTGCTGTGTTTAAGGGCTTGTTTTCGTCGTTTCACCGTACCTGAAAGTGTTTGGGCACTTGATTCACAAAATATAAGATAAGCTTAAGATGTTTCATGCTGAAACTGTTCTTTTTCATCATATCTAATGTTCTAGATTAACCCTTAGACATAGTCACTTTTTTCAATAAATTCGCAAAAGTAGGACCCAAAAAATATCCTTTGCACCTCTGAGCACCTCGTAATTTTACTCGGAAGTTATTGTCATGACTCTAGACTACCTTTTAGTCTGAGTGGCAGATCAATCACACACAATCGCCTCAAGTTATTTCTCATGAAAAAGACGTTTTCGCGTTTCTTATCACTTACAACAATTAGCTATCATATGCCATTGACGATGACATTTATCATGTTCCATTGTCATATTCTAGCAAATCGAATGCATTAGAGCCTAAATCTGCCCAGGCAGAATAATACGAGTTGATGGGGTTGATCGGGACCAATTGAAACTTGTGCTCAAGAACAGCAAAGAATCGCCTCGGGAGGCTACTTTGAGGCCCCGTAGAAGATTTTTTTTTGACGTTTTAAGTGTTTCAAACATATAATCTATCAGTGTAGATATATGTTAGCATAAGTTTAGCTTGGCAGACGAAAACAAGTCTAAACGGTTGATCGGTGGGACTTGAAAGTAAGGCTCCCGAGCAATGAAATTGTCTTAGGAAGCCACTTTGAGGTCCCGTAAACGTTTTTTTTTTTACGTTTACCCATGTTTCAAACAAATAATCTATCAAAATTGATATATTTAAGCTTAAGTTTAGCTTGGCAGACGAAAACAAGTTTAAACGGCTGATCGGTGGGACTTGAAAGTAGGCCAGACTGGAGCCATGAAACGTAGAAGTATTATCCTGAGCTGTCTTTTCAACTTCCCTTGATAGTAGTGTTTGACGAGGCTCTACTTTTAGCTTCTTATAGTCCATCCAATGTAAAATTAATTTTTAAACTTATAAAAAAAAAAAAAAAAAATCTACCGAGAATCGAACCCGGGATATCAAGAAGACGAGTGAGACGCGATGTCAACTGCTCCACCGCGTCAACTGCAACCACTCGCCTCAATTTAAGGTTTCTGAACAAAATATTACCACACTTATATAAAGTATAAAAATGTTAAAAATGGATTTTTCCTGAAGAATATTAGCATTTTTGCACTCAGCGACCCTAAAAACCCCTGTAAACTCATGTTGCGAGGTTTAAACATACATATCTGATTTAATGCCGCTTAAACCGGCTATTCGGACCATAGTGATGTGAATCTGGCATCACATTGATTGTATGTGTGATAAAGAATTCTGATGTCATTTTACACCCTGGATTCTTCCATTTTTAGGGCCGGTGGCGTGGCATGCTTTGCGGTATTTATGGAAAAGGATCGATAAAAAGGGTGATCGCAACGAACACCTTAAAAATTGATTCTTTACCATAGCTCCAATTGAAAAAATATCGATAATCGATTGTTCACGCCTCACTGGAAAAAAAAACACATTGGATCTAGAGTCCAGACTCTTGAAAACATTGGCAAGAAAAAGGACTCTTGAATCAATCAGATTTAAGCTTAAATCAAAAGGAAATCCGCTCAAATTAAGAGGCTTGGTTCTTGATTTAAGCTCAATTCTGATTGAATCAAGAATCCTTTTCTTTTCAATGTTTTAAAGAGTCTGGACTCTAGATCCAATGTGTTTTTTCCAGTGCTCGCCACTGTACCCTTCCCGCGTTATCATAAAATTGAGGCTCTTAGTTTAAAAACTGAAGATTACAAGACTCATTTTCGTCGTTGCAAAGCCGTCGCGACGTAAGATTGAAACAAAATGACGAATACAAATGCCAGAAATAAAACTAAGAACACCGATGTTCATGCTACTCGAAAGTCGACAAGGCCCGTGATACAATGTTGATTCCAGAACGTCGGTCAATATTCGGCCGCTCGTATATCGTTGTTTTTGGTTTTATTTTACGTCATTTTCGTCTGTTACTTTGTTTCAGCATGAAATGGTCGCGAAATATCAACCTTGAAATGACTACATTCTTTTTCCGGGAAACGATGTATTTTCTGCACTGAAAAAAAAAAAAAAACTCCGGCCGTGGATGCCGTACTTACGAGCCATATAGACATACCGTCCGTGTTCTAGGCTCAGAGGCCGGAAGTTCCGGGCGCAGCAACCGGAGCAATCGAAGATACGGCTCCAGCACCCGGAAGTTTCGGCCTCTGTGCCTGGAACGGGTGGTATGTCTGTAAGTCGCAGGCAAATAGTATAATCAGGCATTCCTTCAATTGCCTGTGCAAATATTCAAATATTCGTAAGTAGAATGTAATTTCGATTCTTTTCCTAATTTTAGGCAGAATAATTGATTACTTTCGTAAAAAAGAATTTTCTGTAAAAATATGGATCATGCAATAATATTTTAAACTATTTTCAGCTCCTGGATGAAAATTTATCTAAAAGTTAGCAGCATTTCTCAAATTACAGATTTTAAAATTTTAAAATTTGAATATATGTGAGGCATTTGCAGTGGAAGGAACAAGAAGAGTTCTTAAATGTGATGAGTTATTTTTCCCCAAAATAGGAAACTCGAGATCTCTTCGCCATAAATTTACAAAATGTTGTAAACTGTCAACATTTGACTATCTGCGTAGGCATTTGACATAATGCCTGATTTGACTTATTGCCTGCGACATATGAGGACTTAAATGTAACAATGGCGGTTGTGAAAAATGACCTTTTCGAAACACATTCAAAAAACTGTTTCGGCATCGAGAAAATCTTAAGAAAATACTTGTGATGTGATCTTCGAGATCTGTACATTATGTCAGAGCCAAACATATTAAATTTTTGTGTGAACAAAACAGTTTTTTAAGCGAGTTTCGAAAAGGTAATTTTTCACATCCGCCATTGTTACATATAAGGCCTCATATGTAGCCCGTAATTTTTTTTTTCAGTGTGGTAAACTCACTACCTCAACCCGTGGTGCTCGCTCACTCACTTCGATGCCTAGCGGGGGCGGCGGCATACTCAGCAGTCTTACTATACCCTGAAGAAATGACGATCCTCCTAGGAGGCGGCGGGGAGACCTCGCGGGCGGCCAGCGCCGTAGCGTCCTTCTTGTGGAGTCCGTTCTTGGAGCTCGGCTTGTGCGGGAGGGGGTGTGGAGCATGGTTCGCCGGGAGGGGCGTCAAGGGCACGGAGGGCGTCGAGGGCGTCTTGGGCGTCAAGGGCGTCAAGGGCGTATTGGGCGCCGGGACGCGAACGGCCTCGATCTCGGAGGCGGCGCCCTCAGGTTCCTCGTCGCCGGAGAGAGTGTCCAAGTCTTGGCTCTGGGCGTTGGATTCGGCGACGCGGACGAAGGTCGAGGAGAGCTCGCCGCGCAGGTGGGAGAGCTTCTGCGAGGTCGGGTCGTACATGAAGATCTCCTTTGAGTCGTTCGAGGGAGCTTGGGCCGGCTGCGGTTTGTCTTCCGTCGGGCTGGAACAAGGAAAGGTTTTGTCGTTAATAAAAGGAGAGACCTGGATACGTGAAGAAAGCCACGTAGTTAAAAATTTCCGTGTTCATGGTTCACTGGAAAAAAAAAACACATTGGATCTAGAGTCCAGACTCTTGAAAACATTGACAAGAAAAAATACTCTTGATTCAATCGGATTCAAGCTTAAATCAAAAGGAAATCCGCTCAAATTAAAAGGCTTGGTTCTTGATTTAAGCAAAAATCCGATTGAAGCAAGAGTATTTTTTCTTGTCAATGTTTTTAAGAGTCTGGACTCTAGATCCAATGTGTGTGTGTGTTTTTTTTCCAGTGCTTACTTAAAAATGTCCGAGTTCATGGTTGCTTTTGGCAGTGCTGGCATTCCATGTCCATCAAAAGTTCCGGGATTCGAAACTTTCTTGTTCCAATTTCTCCCACTCCGCGACCGTCAAAAGTTCCGGGATTTCTTTTAGATTTTTTCAAAAGTTCCGAGAAATTTCCGGAAAATGCAAAAGATCCGGAAATTGTTGGGACTTTCAAAAGTTACGGGAGAAATTCAGGAAAATTTCAAAAGTTCCGGAATCCGGAACTAGTTCCGGGAAATGGGAGCATTGTGGACACTTGATGAAAGCCGCACAGAAAAAAATTTCCGTGTTCATGGTTGCTTTTGGGTATACTGAGTTACTTTTTTCCGATAAGATCAACCGAAAGAACTTAGCTGATCCTAAAATTTTCTCCTAAAATTTTACGTAGGAAAGGATACACACAATCTTACGAACTATTCAGCAATTCGTCACCTTTCGGCCGAAGTATCACAAGTGCCATGCAACGTTCCAAAATTTCCGCCGCCATTTTATTTTCTCGTAGAAATTTTGTCGGTTTAATCTGTTTGAAAATTTCACAGAATTTTATCGGCAACATAAAGAAAATTCAGTGAATTTTCGTGAAGTTTCGTTGAACAATTTCTCCGTAAATAATTGAAATGGCGGCGGAAATTTTGAAATGTCGCATGGCGCTTGTGATACTTTGGCCGAAAGATGAAGAATTAACACAACAAGGCCTTAGCTAATTCCGACCGGAAGACACCACTAAATCAAAGAAAGCGAGAGGAAAATTTCAGTGCAAGCAAATGCCGCGGTCATTATTTCGTCGCGATTGAATGTTTATTGCATCAGCACCACGTAACAAGGAACGCTATCGGCGTTAAAATGATTTTTTAGCGGAGTCAAAGCGAGCCGATAATCTTGGAAAGTCGTCAAGTGGTCAGCTTGGCGGCGGCGTTCCAAAATAAATCCGATCATCTGCCGCATTTGGCCCTTTGCTTGGTAGTTTATTGTACTTACTCGTGAATTGAATCACGACCATAAAAACTCCGGAACTTTCACTCAGAATCCGATATACGCGAGGAATTCATATCAGTCGCTTCGCGGACGCCACGCCGAACGCCGCGCCATTGCCTAATCTCGCAAACAATGTTTTTTTTCATAAAATCACAGGATACAAATTCTCACACTACCGTTGAACTTGACTAAAATACTAAATATATTATATAATCTAATATTAATAATATATCGTAAACACATTGACTAAATAACTTGACGCTTACTCCTTCACCGGAGAGAGTGCTGTCGAAATCTTAAAATGTGACTTTTCGACTAAAATCGGAAAAAATTCGCTGTGCTGAATATCTGACAAAATTCCAGAATTTTTTTAAGGAGAGGTTTAAAATGCAAATGTATGGTCCCTTTACTGCGATATACCTACAGTCGATATGCATCGATAACGTCATGCTATCGATCAACTATCGAACCGCTCTCCAAAAGGGGCTGTGTCTAAATTACCTAAAAACAAAATGCCTTAACACTCACTTCGACCCCCCCCCCC